TGTGTGTGTGTGTGTAAACCCACTAGTTTTAGTTTTAGTAAGAATTTTACAGCACTTGCAACACAATAAGGTCGTATAAGTGTCGAAGATTAGAGGTGTTACAAGAGAGTAACAAACACAAAAAAGGAGGGGAAATATTAAAAACGATAGATGTTTGATAGGAAAGAAGATTATAGAAGCAAACCACACCAGAGCACCCGCCAACCACCCATGCTGAAGACAAAGAACAGTTCGTCGTTGCTTATTGTAAAATTGGGTTTTTTAATGAACTCATGTTTTTGTTTTCGTAAGAGTTATACACGGTAGGCACTTTCAACACAATAAGGTCATGTTAAGTGCCAAAGATTACAGGTGTTACAAGAGAGTAACAAACACAAAAAAGCAGGAGAGGAGATAAAGACGATAGATGTTTGATAGGAAAGAAGAAGCAAAACCACACCAGAGCACCCGCCAACAACCCACACCCCCCCCCTTTTTTTTTTTAAAGCAAGTGTTTTACGGCACATGCAACTCAATAAGGTCCCCCCAAATACATACCTAGAAAACAAAAGAGGGAAGAAAAAAAAGAAGCACGACCTACCAGCGGCATCCTCCAACCACCCGGCAATACGTACGTACGTACCTAAATTAATGAGGCTGTTCAGGCGGTACCACGGGTTGAACTTTGACGTCCCACAGATTTGGAGCAGCTGTCGGAAGTGCAGGAAGATGCTGTTGATCTCCACGATGAGGGCAACCACCGCGTACCCCACGTAATGCCGAGTCAGCACTGCTACCATGAAGCAGGAGATTATCTGTGGTCGGAAAGAGAAGACACACATAGTCTGTTTTGTTTTTGGTTTTGGTTTTTTTTACAGTTAAAATAAGAGTGTTACGCATGGCACTTGCAACACAATAAGGTCATAAAAGTGCTGAAGAATAGAGTATTTTTTAAAACAGATTTAGTACGAGTTTTACGGCACTTGCAACACAATAAGGTCATGTAAGTGCCAACGAATAGAGGTGTTACAAGAGAGTAACAAACACAAAAAAGAAGGAGGAGAGATAAGGACAATAGATGTTGGATAGGAAAGAAGGAGCAGACCACACCAGAGCACCCACCAACCACCCACACAGGCAGTTTACAACACATGACATACATATGGGGATAGATTCATCACCAAGAAAAAAGACACACCAAAAAAAAAGAAGAGCTCCCCAGCATAAAAAAGGAATGGTACTTTTGTGTTATGAAAGACTGTGTGTGAGAGTGCACGCAGGCATGTGTGTGAGTGTGTGTGTGTGCACGTGACTGTGTGTGTGTGTGTGTGTGTGTGTGTGTGTGTGCGTATGTCTATGCCTGTGTGCACACAGATTCATCACCAAGCAAGAAGACAGACAAAAAAAATAAAAAAAGAGCTCCCCCGCATTAAAAAGGAATGGTACTTTTGTATTATGAAAGACTGTGTATGCGCCTGCATGCATGCATGCGTGTCTGTGTGACTGTATGTGTGCATGCATGCGTGCAAGACATAAAGAGCACGCCAGATGAAAAGACAGACATGAAATAGACTTCACTCCACATGAAATGCAAACATAAAAGATTTCACACCATGACCCATAAATGTATGAACTTTGTATGATATTGATTTTTCCTTTCCAGACCCAATACCAGAGACCCCACCTGCAAATAATCAATGCTTCAACCTTCAGGCAAACTCACCACTTCAATGATCCTCAGTAGCTGTAACGAATAACTAATAACATAAATCTTTCCTGTTCAATCTGACTGAAACCACACAGACCCCC